TCTAAGATTCTATCTATCAGAAGTTCTGGAAGAGGAAAAATGATTCTGTGGTTCCAGGGCCAGGAAAGTGCTTCGGTACGTGGACTGGGAGGAGATGCATGTTCTTGGGAAGAGGAGCAAGGAGCGGGCTGCTTTACATCTCAGTCTTAGCGGTGGTTATGTAGATGGGACACTGTATAAAACTTGTGCATGTGAGATAAGTATGCTTCAGGGTTCCATGCTATACCTCAAGCTTCCCCAAATGCTATTTTGTGTATGTGGTAGACCGTGCATCCTGTGTGTTGGGCCACTGGTCTCCCTGACACTTTCCAAACTGAGGCATCAGCTTCTTGGGGATGCAGTGAGCAAAGAGGAGACTGAGGGCAGGACCACTGGAGTCTCCAGCGACTGACTTCAAGAGACTTTTCCCAAGAATCAGGGCATGAAAACCAGGCCAGGGGCAGTGTCAGGAGGGACAGGAGAAATGCCGTGGTTTCAGCCAGATGGAGTATGGCCGGCCATATTCGGGTACTGTGCACAATGTACAACGGCATTACCTCTGGAAACGTGTGCTGGCTTTCACTAACCAGCATCATGAGTAAACTAACATCTGCCAGTCCTAAATGTGGGAACAATGAGAGCCAGCCATACTTATCAGCATGGTCCTGGGAAAGACTAGTAACAGGCCGGCAAAGACCCAGGTGGCTTTTCAGGTCAGCTTTGCTGTCACACGAGGTTGCACGTGAGGGTCTGCTTGCCCGCTAATCCCAGTCATCCCAGGGGAAACCTCCACCCTTGCCACTGGACATAGGCTGGCCTTATTTTCAACAAGTCTTTCCAGCAAGGGGGTTGGGCCTGTGCCAGAGCTGCTGGCTTTGTGATGCTAACGTTACCCTTGGGACCCAGCCTGCTCCCAGAGTCTGTGGAGAGAGAGACAAAAAGCAGCTTGTGTCTCTTTGAACCCCCAGGAGTAGGTCTGTTTCATGTCCTGGAATTTTCTTCTACAGATGAGATTTCTTGTCCCCTTTAATGCTTCAGTTAAAAGAAGACAGAGAGGCTTGGCCAGTCCCCAAACACTCTCCCTCTTCTGTGCACTCCTTACTGGCAAAGCACCGAATGGGAGTCCTGGGGAGAAAACACAGGGCCCAGGCCCCCTCTCTCCTCCTCAGTAAACCCAGGGCAGGCTGCAGGCCGTGCCTCCACTGATTGCCTACTCCCCAGGAGCTCAACGTGAAAGAGCATAGCATGGACTCAGTACCCTTCGTAAGGGTGAGCTCATCAAGAACACGGAAAGTCTGAGAAATTGTCACGGCCATGGGGAGCCTGGAGGGGGACAACTCAGTGTAATGTGTCCTGGATGGGGTTCTGGAACCGACAAAAAGGGTATTGGGGAAACACTAAGAAAATCTGAAGAAAGTCTGGACTTCGGTTAGTAAAAATACAGCAACACTGGCTCAGTGATTATAAAAATGTACTGTAGTTTAGGCATGTACATCTACATACATGTGAGAAGTTAACAACAGGAGAGCTGAGTGTGTATTGTAAGGAGCTGTCTGAAAACTCAGTCCCCTCCCTTCCTCTGAAAAGTCCGACATGGGGAGCACCAGGACGCCACACCCTGCCTGGCACTGAGGCTGGTGTTGGTGAGGGGCAGGGTGAGGGTATTGGCTGGACCCTGGGGACCCTTGGCTGGCAGATGGGGGCTTCCCGGGCACAGGTTTCCTGAGCCAGAGCTGGGCCGGGCCTGGGCTGTGCACTCATGGACAAGCCCCCTGTTCTCTCAGAGCCTCAGTCAGCCAAGCTGGAGGGGATACCTACCAGGGCTGTCCTGAGGGTAAAGAGAGGACAAGCCGTGGAGCTGAGGGTCCAGGTCTGGGGTTGGACCACACGGCTCCACACTGTCTGACTTCAGAGAAGTTGCTTAGCCTCCCTGGGCCTCAGTTTCCTCTCCTGTGTGAAACTGGAATGTTAACAGCCCCTACTTCCTAGAGCTTTACAGGTGAAAAGAAACAGGATAGGAAACAACTGACATTATTAGCTTTCCTTTCAGAAGAAACAGCACAGCACCAGAGTAGATAAGCAAGTGTCGGCCTCTCGCCTGCTCAGCTGCCCTCCCGGTTCAGCTGCTCCCCCCGGCTCGGAGTGCCCCGGCCCCGGCCCGGGAAGTCCCACGGGCCTCCACCCTTCAGACCCCCAGCCCAGCCCCTGCCTCTCGGTCCCACCGGCCGAGAGCCTTTGGGCGCTTTTGGAAGGTGCCGGGCGTAGTGCGGTTCTGAGCGCTTCCTATGCGCGTGCACTGAGCCCCGAAACCCATTCACCCGCGGGGACTCTCAGCTGTTGCCGGGGGGGGGGG